TCGAGATAGGTGGAGATAAGTTCGGTGGGGCAGGAGCAGGCGGAGACAATGGGTCGACCAGGGCATTCAGGCTGGTGGATTTTGGGATGGAGATAGAAGCGGGCAATGCGGGGTTGGGGAACGATAAGGTTGGAGGCTGTGGGTGGAAGGTCACCTGAGGTGATGAGGTTGTAGCTGGTTTGGGAGATGATGGTTTGGTGGTCGGGGGTGGGGTCATGATCAAGGGGGCTGTAGGAGGAGGTGTCGGAGAGTTGGCGCCTGGCCTCGGTGATGTAGGGGTGAGTGCGCCATACTACAACTGCGCCTCCCTTGTCTGCGGGTTTTATCGTGAGTTTGGGATTAGAGCGGAGGGAGCGGAGGGCTGCACGTTCTGCGGGGGAGAAGTTGGAGTGGGTGAGAGGGGTGGAGAGGTTGAGGCGATTGATGTCTCGACGGCAGTTGGAGATGAAGAGGTCGAGGGAGGGTAGAAGGCCTTGGGGTGGTGTCCAGGAGGAGGGGGTGTGTTGGAAGCGGGAGAAGGGGTCAGTAGAGGGAGAGTTAGGCTCATGGTTAAAGAAGTAAGCGTGGAGGCGGAGGTGGTGGAAAAAAAGCTCACTGTCCCCAAAATCCACAAACCTGACTATCCTGGTCGACCCATTGTCTCCACCTGCTCCTGCTCCACTGAACTTATCTCCACCTATCTCGACTCCATTTTCTCCCCCTTGGTCCAGGAACTCCGTATCTACGTCCGTGACACCACCCATGCCCTCCACCTCCTCCAGAACTTTCAATTCCCCGGTCCCCATCACCTCATCTTTACCATGGACGTCCAGTCCCTATACACCTGCATTCCCCATACAGATGGCCTAAAGGCCCTCTGCTTCTTCCTGTCCCGCAGGCCCGACCAGTCCTCCTCCACTGACACCCTCATCCGCTTAGCTGAACTCATCCTCACCCTCAACAACTTCTCTTTTAATTCCTCCCACTTCCTATAGACAAAGAGTGTGGCCATGGGTACCCGCATGGGCCCAAGCTATGCCGGCCTCTTTGTAGGTTACGTGGAACAATCCCTCTTCCGTACCTACACTGGCCCTAAACCCCACCTCTTCCTCCGTTACATTGATGACTGTATCGGCGCTGCCTCGTGCTCCCACGAGGAGCTCGAGCAGTTCATCCACTTCACCAACACTTCCCACCCCAACCTTAAGTTCACCTGGACCATCTCCAATACCTCTCTCTCCTTCCTGGACCTCTCTGTCTCCATCTCTGGCAACCACTAAGAAACCGATATCCATTTCAAGCTCACCGACTCCCACAGCTACCTAGAATACACCTCCTCCCACCCACCTTCCTGCAAAAATGCCATCCCCTATTCCCAATTCCTTCGCCTCCGCCGCATCTGCTCCCAGGATGAGGCATTCCACTCCCGTACATCTCAGATGTCCTCATTTTTCAAGGACCGCAACTTCCCCCCCTCAGTGGTCGAGAACGCCCTCGACCGTGTCTCCCGCATTTCCCACAACTCATCCCTCACACCCACTCCCCGCAATAACAACCAAAACAGAATCCCCCTCGTCCTCACGTACCACCCCACCAACCTCCGGATCCAACACATCATCCTCCGACACTTCCGCCATCTGCAATCCGACCCCACCACCAAAGACATTTTTCCCTCCCCACACTTATCTGCTTTCCGGAGGGACCACTCTCTCTGGGACTCCCTTGTCCACTCCACACTCCCCTCCAGCCCCACAACACCCGGCACTTTTCCCTGCAACCGCAGGAAGTGCTACACCTGCCCCTACACCTCCCCCCTCACCCC